GTGAGTAGAAAGTACAGATAATTGTGTAAAAATGTAATGAGTAAAAGTAAAAATTATGCTGAAAAATAAATACTCAAATCAAGTACAGATATCCAAAAATTCTACTTAAGTACAGTAACAAAGTATTTGTACTTAGTTACTTTACAACTCTGAGTACAGATAATCTACTTACTGTATACCCGTGTACTGTATAATACTACTGCTCCACTTTATGGATGATTTTTAGGGATGAATTTCTAGTATTATACATGAATACATACAGTCAGTACAGTAACAAAGTATTAATACTTGTACTTTGTCTGGTACCTCTCTGTGGTCCTTGTGTCTTCAGGCGGCTGTAGAAGAGCTGCAGAGAGAAGTCTCGGCWCACAGGAAGCAGGTCTTGGTCCTGCAGGACCGACAAGGCCTCCAGAGGTAAGTCCAACAACTTCCTGTCAGCCAGCAGCAGCAGGTGGTCCTCAGGTTCAGCTGTGAAACAACCGGAGACAGTCTGAGACCTGATCCTCCTGCTGGTCTTCATGTGGACCTACAGGTGGACAGGTATCAGACTCTACCTGAGGGACGTTGGTCTTCTGTAGTTCTCTCAGAGGCAGGGAAAGACGCAGTGTTTGACCTGAAGGACAGAGAAGAGGCGGGGTGAAGACCACCTGTGTGTGAGACAGACAGGTGTGTAACTCTGAGCTCCTTCACCTGCAGGACAGGTCCAGCTGGGACAGAAGAGGACYCAGATATTCCTCCATGTCTCTCAGCAGTTCTCTGAAGGTCTGAGCTGACGCTGATTCTGCTCGTCTCTGAGTCTGGAACAAGATGTTTCAGGTCACTGAATATTTGATCCACGATTCTCATCAGACAGAAAATATCTACAGCAGCCGTCCCACGTCTGTCCATCAGTGGGACGGGACGAGAGCTGATGTCTGTCCATCAGTGGGACAGGAAGTCCATCAGTGGGACAGGAAGTCCATCAGTGGCTAACCCTAACCCCAGCTGAGGGTAACCAGGTGAATGATCTTAGTAAAGTGAAGATAAAAACAGACCTGAAGGCCCTCAGAGTCCTCCAGCCAGGACTCAGGACCCTGCACAGTCTCTGCCTTCAGGAGGGACTGGCTGGCCAGCCTGAAGACCTGGACCCGGTCCCTGAGGTCCAGGAGCGCCTGTGGGCAGACTGAAACCTTGGCCACCTTAGAGCACGTCACGCCTCCTGCAACAAGAAGGTCCAGTCAGCTCTGTCCCAATAATTGGTCCCCATGAGCTGCTCTGTAGGATTCCTCTCTTTACGTCCTGCTTCATGTTTAATGAGGTCTYCTCACACACCAGGAGCCAAGAGCCCGACATGTTCACTGGTTCAGGTCCAGAGGGGCGGGGCTAGGAGCTGGAGCTGTTCTTTTAGTTTCTACATGAACCAGTGGCGGCTGGTGGATTTTTCTCCAGGGGGGGGGTACAACTCCAAAATAGACGTATCTCAAAAAGCAATCAAACGTACTAAGTTGTATCACGTCAGTGTATTTATTAAACAAATGAAAATAATAAAACATCATTACAATGTCATGTAGTTTTTATTTTTTGTACATAAATTTTGCTCTTCTGTTACTGAGAATCAAACATCTTCATGAGTCTGGTGAAAGTCACGATGTTGTAACCAGATTCTTATAGAGCATGGTCAGTGCAGTGAGATGTGATGTTGTACCTGAGGAAAGTCTGGATTGTCTTCAGTGTTCAGCTCCTCTCAGATTCAGCTGTGGTCAGAGGAGATGTGAGGAGAACTTCAGCAGAGTCACAGTCTCTGAAGGTGTCCTGCAGGTTGTTCTCCATGAAGAGCAGCTGGTACAGAGCCGCAGCACCACTGCAGCTCCTGAACTACATCAGACTTCTTGGTCCTGTTCAGCACTGGGTGAGCCTCCATGGTCTTCAGAGACCTGTCCTGCAGGAACCTGTCAGCCTGCAGCTCTGATCAGATGTTTGTGAATGTCTCAAGATGATGTCACAAACCTAAAACAATAAATACACAAATTTTATTCAATACAAAGATGGCTACAAGTGAGCTTTATAATATATATTTAAACTATAGAGAACAATTAATGTTATTTTAATAGCAACAAATTGTTGCATCTCTAAGG